CCCTCCGGTGTCCGCCTCCCGTCCCCTCCCTGGCGTGCGCTGCCGCGGCGTGGCCGAGTCCGGCCCCGTTCGTGGAGTCATTGACGGTGCCGCTCCCGGCACCGGTCAGAGCCAGCCGGGCCCCGTGCTCGGTCGGGCCGGGGCGGTGCCGCTGCTCACCTCGGCCCTTCTCCCGAGCACCGCGGGAGCTCTCGGGGCCCGGCCGGGTCTCGCTCCTCGGTCGGGGGTGATTTACTCGCGGGGTACCCGGGCAGCGGTCGGGGCACGGGGGCCGCCCAAGGCGCGGGCAGCAGCTCCCGGCAGCTCGGAGCCCGCTCGTGTGTCCCTGCGCTTTGGGAAGGTCTCTCGAAAAGTCGCGTTCCGTTTCAGCCTCTCACTGCTTAAACTGTCCCTAACATAAGGGACGTGTATTTTCCTTTTCTGTGTTTGTAAGCTTTAAACACCAGTCTGTTTCCCCTCGCTCGGGTCTGTGGGGGCTGCAGTTGCTCAGGGTAAGTTTTGGGCTGCTCGCTGCCGTCTGTTGTAACTTTGGATGTCAGTGGGGAGCATGAAGAAAGAGATGGAGAACACGTTCTAGGCAGGGCTGCGCGGTTCGTGGGTCACATTTCGGGGGTGGTAAAAGGTTCCCTTAGGCTCTCTCGGGGCTGTGGTGTACGTGAACCTCGGGAGATCGCATTAAGGCACGAGAAGAACTGTTTTACTGTGAGACCAGGGCACGGTCTGTGCAGAGGCTGCGGATCCCCGTCCTGGGGGCTCCTCCCGGCCCTGCCCTGCAGAGGGTCCTGCTGAAGGAGGGCTGGGATGGGAGCTCCAGGGACAGGTCCTGGTTGTGCCTTGGAATTTCCTTATGGGAAATATAGGGAAGAGTGTGCATGTCTCAGGGTTCACAAATTAGAAAAACATCTGCTTTGGACAATTTCCTGCGTTTGAAATGAGTTGTTTGTTTCCTCTTGCAGTGAGAGGGTCCCAAGGGCTGTACATGGTGAACGGACCCCCCAGTTTCACTGAGAGCACGGCATTCCAGAGGTACTGGTGTCAGTGGCACAAAATAAATTGTTTTCTGAAAAGTAAGGGTAGACTCTGGAGCTGAAAAACGTGTGACTATAAATGAGTTCGGAGAACTGATGGTTTGGAAGGCTTTGCACTTGCCTGAGCTCTCACTGGCAGGTGGCAGCCCCTGAACAGGGGTAACAGGGAGTGCACTGTGACACAGGGCTCCTCAGGAGCACAGCAGGAAAGTTGTTGTGTTTGTTTTTGTTAAAAAAACCTTAACTATGGCACTATTGGATACTCATGTGCTTTTCTTATTTTTTTAGGGATTCTGGAAAAAATTGCAAAGCTGTTGCTTTTAGCAAAGATGGCTCCCTCTTTGCTTGGTGCAATGGAGAAAAGTGGGTGCATTTTATTATCCTAAGTTTTAGATTGTATGAAATAAATGGAATCAATTATACCTCATGTACTCTTGTCTGTGTGAAGGCGACTGATGTTAATGCTTAAGCATTTGCATGTACACTTTACTGTTTATTGTTTGCATTAGTGTTTATTGTTAGTGAGTTTATTGTTGCATTAGTGAGTTAGTTTCTTGACCATCAGATGAAAGATTTGCTGTTATTCTCTTATTTATAATGCACCCATTCCTGTGCAGTCTGGGTATGCTTTCTTTGTTTTTATTGATGGCTCCCCGTACCTGGTCTCTGGGATTAATCTGTTTGTAGAGTCCACAGAACATAATGAGTCTGTACACCTTGTGAATGTTACAAGGTTCCTTTTGTACAGATCAGGTGCATTATAGAGTTCACTCTCTTTGTTTAGTACTAATGCGTTGCAGAAAAAAATACGTGTTATGTTTTTGACCAGTGGTCACTTTTCTTGGTTTCTGTCATGCTTGGGTGTCTGGTTTTAAAATGTGCTTTTGGAAAAATTTAGTGAAAACAAGATGAAACAAGAAGAAAAAGCTCTTGTAATTTTGTTATATTGGCAAATTTGGGGCAGACCTAGAAGAGTCAAATACTTGAACAATTCTCTCAGCTATTAGTTATTATAAGCATGTTTTACTGAATTAGCATCTTTTGGTTCCAGAGTCAAAGTTGTTAATGTCACCAGAGCTGAGTTACTGCATTCCTTTGATCTCCCAAAGACCGTTTGCCTTGAATTCTCGCCAAAGAATAATGTTCTGGCAACGTGGCAGGCCTATGCAAGTGAGTACTGTACCAGCTGGGGAAGCACAGGGTTTGTGCATGTCTTGACCCATGTCTGGGCTAGTACCTGGCCGGCCTCTGCAGCACATTTATTGGCTAAATGAGCAGTGCAGAAAGGGTGCAGAAAGTTCTGTGGGCAGTCAGGAGCACAGTGGAGGAGGGAGGGATGCCCCTGTCTGAGAGCAGCTGGTGTTGGCCATTCTTACACCAGCTGTGTCAGGGTGCAGGTGCTTGTAGTTTCTGTGTCAGTCAGTCATGTGTTCTCTAAACTTTGGGAAGGGTCCTGGTGCAGTGTCCTGTGCAGGCAGCTTGTGTTCCTGCGTAGGCAGGGGAGATGGCACACTGTCTTGGAGTAGTTGTGTCCTGCCCTGGGGCCCATGAATGGAGTGTTCTCAGTGTCCAGGGCTTTATTCCCTCCTCTGCCTCCCTGGGGGCGTTTGAGTTCCTGATCCTGAGAGCTGCAGTCCTGTCTGAGCCACAGACAGTGTAAATGCTCCCTTGGGAGGGAAGATCTGGGCAAGGCTGGGCCTTGAGACCTGGCCAGGCTGTGGGGACACTGGGAACCAGGTCAGGCTGTAGGATAAGAGAAGACAGCACAAGCTGTGGGCTGTTAGTGAGCTGTGCTGGGTCTGCTGTAAATCACTGACAGCAGCAGGCAGGCCCTGCTATCCAGGCCAAGGAGGAGAGTACAGACAGTTTGAAAGCAGCAGAACCATTTTGCATGAGCTTGCAGAGAAAGCTGTGTCTGGTGGAATGGACAAAATCATCTCATTCCTGTGAGAGCAAAACATTGGAGGGGAGACCATGCCCCCATTGTTTGCTGTGAGGATGGTTTTGGGTTTGGATTAAAAAGCTGTGCAGGTGTTGGTGCTTGCAGCCTTACAGTGGAGAGTAGAAACCCTATGCCTCCAAATGTGAGTTCTTTCAGCAAACAGACTGAGGTTAATAGGTACAGCAATCAGCATCATGGGTTTGCTCTCTCAGGGGCAGCAGCTGCACGCTTGCAAGAAGTTCATGCATGTTTGGGCACTAGCAGAAGCGTGAGGTGGGATGTTAGGATGAAGTAGATTTAAGCCTCAAAGACCATTATGTTTTTTTTCAGCTGCTAAGGATGGCACAGCAGGGGTGCCCAACCTGCAGCTCCATGATCTGAGAACTGGAAAATGCTTAAAGTCTTTTGTGCAGAAAAAGATGCAGAACTGGTAAATGAGCCTTCCAGATGCTAATAGTTTATAAAGAAATGTGGGTTTTAAGTCTGATCCAGGTTAATGGAACTGTTAGTGTGGTGTTGGCTTTCAAAGCAGTGCCTGCTGCTAACTGAAAGCCAGAGTCTGTGCTTGTGAGTGCCTGTGTGTAGTTCATTGTAAATTCACTCTCACTTTGCACCACAGAGGAAAGCTGGGCACTTTTATATTTTTTGCATGCAGATGTCATTTATCCATATTAAATGTATCATGTTTGAACTTAGTGGGCTCACAATAGAGGGGAAAAACAATCCTGGAGTTTTAATGATGAGCATAATTTTTTGTTTCTGGCTTTTCCCTTAATGTGCAGGTGTCCTTGCTGGGCAGATGATGAAAGCATTTGTGCCAGGAATGTGAACAATGAAGTGCACTTCTTTGAAAGCAACAACTTCAGTATGCGAGTATTTCTTTAAGTTTCATTGCTTCTATAAATACTGCTTCTTTTGAGGGGTGGTTTTTGTTTTCAGGCTTTTGTTTCTTCCTTTGTTTGCCTTTTATTTTAGGTACTGCCTACTTTCTATTTCAGTTTGGAATTCAGAATCATTGCGCTTTAATGAAGTGTGTTTTCACTTTCTTATTTGTCTTTTCACTGAGTGACATGATATGAAATGCATCTGATTCTCAATTAAAGAGGCCTGATTCTATGTTCTTATTTAATGAGATCCAGGGAATTGTTGTTAGAAAGCATGGTCTGCAGTTACTTCCTTGGGTTGTGCATATTCTGTCAATAGACTGTTAAAAATGCCTCATTAAAAAAGTTGATGGCAAAAATGAAATAGTGAAGCCTGAAGATTTTTACCAAGAAGATTTACTGTTGGTGGTGTAGAGTATCTGGGGTCAATAGATATTGAAAAGGGAAGAAAAAAGAAGGAAGATAAAAATTTAGAACAAAAATGTAAAGGAATTAAAAAAAACTGAAGGGAGAACAGAAGTGTATGGTTTTAGTTTTTCAATTTTTTGTTTTCTTTTAAATATAAAGTTGATACAAGGATTAGGGCTACGAGATATTCAGTTTCCTGAGAATTAGCCCTGCTCCTGTTAACGGAGCTGTGGGAAGTGTGGAATGCCAGCCTCAGCAGGATGTCTGCTGGCAGTGCACATTCCTGGCTGCAGTGGAGCTGTTGCCATCAGTTGTTTGTGGGAAGGGGCAGTGTTGAGCCCAGAGCAGACCTGTTGGGAAGAGTCATCCCATGGAGGTGTGAGGGGAGAGCTCCTGCCTCTGTGTGATGGCACCTGAATGTGACTGAACCCAGCACAGATCAGGTGAAGAATACCTGCTTCAAACACAAGCTGTGCTCACCTCAGCTTCAGAGGTTTCCTTTGCTTTTTGGACTTCCAAATACTAAGTTATGGGTTTCAGACATCGACTCAAGTTTGTTTTGTAGGTAAAGTGATGTGGTGAAATGGGAAAATAATGTTTGTTTGCCTAGAAAAAAGATCCTTTGTGATTGTCTTTACTGGTCTGTGTTATCCAGGATACAGCCCTATAGAAGGGTGTGGATAGGACATCCAGGTAATGTGGTTTGTCATTAACATCACACATCTGTGACCTTTTTCTTGGCAGATACCATCGCAAATAAGCTGCATTTGCAGAAGGTCAGTGATTTCGTGTTGTCCCCAGGAGCGCAGCCAACCAAGGTACTTCTGATCCAGCTTCCAGTATTTTTCTTGGTTTTCTTAAAAAAAACCCCACTGTGATTTTAGTATAATGTACTGGTAGTAACTATGCCCTTTTAACCTGCAGTGAAATCTCATGACTGTTTCAGGTTGCTGTTTATGTCCCAGGCAGCAAAGGTGCTCCAGCCTTTGTCAGGCTCTACCAGTACCCCAACTTCGGGGGCCCGCAGTCAGCACTAGCCAACAAAAGCTTCTTTAAAGCTGACAAGGTGACAATGCTATGGAACAAAAAAGGTATAGCAGCTGTGTACTGAAACTTTTATATTGTGCTCATTTGAGATTGACTTACTTAGTTTACTGTGTGGGTTTTGTGTTTAGTTTGCATATGCTGCTAAATCCTGAGGGCAGCCGTTAACACCTTGCTGAGGTGCATTTCTGCACACCCTGGAGTGCTCAGCACTTCCCTGTGACTTCCATCATTCTGACTGTTGTAACTGAAAATATTCTTTACATGCTGGTAATTTTTGCAGTTGAATGAGGAATTCCTATATAATTTTGCATTCTGTGTTGATAATATAATTGGATTGTTGACATAAGAACATGCGATGATATAATCTTAATCTGTAGAATTGTCTGGATGCTTGCATATCATAACTAGGGTGAGCTGACAGGCCACTGTGCTTTGCTCTTTGTTAGCAATGAGCTGTTTCAGAATGATTTTGTACAAATCATTTTACTTTAACCCACATAGTTTGGAATACAAGGAAGGTGTTGCACACATGTAGAAACCATGCATGGGGGCTGTGAGAGATACGAAAGATTGATGTCTTAGGACATTTTGGGGTGCATGTGCCCTGGGGAAGGGGCATGTTGGGCCTTGCCCTGATGAGACAGTGCCCTGCTCAGCACCCCTGAGAGGGACACAGCTTTGGACAACAGATGTGCATACACAAGATGTTGAGGAAACGTTTTATTCAAGGATTGATCAGGATGTTTGGTTTCTGCCGTAGTTTAATATTTTTTTTTACAGCTGCAAAGGATGTTCACTTGCTTGTGGTCTAACAGTGAATGAATATATGGAGCTGACATTTTCCATCTCAGAAAGGAAGGCATTCAGTCCTTTTGTGCTAGCATTTAGGAAAATCTCAACTCAGAAGAGATACCAGCACTGTTACACAAGGAACCAGTAGGAACTGATAGCGGAGCCGATTTCACATTGCCTGTGGTGTTCTGTGGCTGCTGTGGCTTTCAGCAGCTGTGCTGCACTAACTGTGTCTGTTCACAGCCACGGCACTGCTGGTGGTTGCCAGCACCGAGGTGGACAAGAGCGGGGCCTCGTACTACGGCGAGCAGACCCTGCACTACCTGGCGGCCAGCGGGGAGAGCGCCGTGGTGCAGCTGCGTGAGTACCTCCTGTGCTGCCCTGCAGCTCCTGCAGCTCCTGCAGGGCTTCTCAGTGTCATGAACTGATCTTTGCAACTAAATCCTCTTAACAAAAAATCCTTCACTATTTTTTTTTACCTCTACAGGAAGATGTTGCTTTTTTCTGGGTTGCTTTGTTTGGTTTTTTTTAGTAGCTGAATTTTCTTACCTTTGATAGACTTATCTTAATGTCAGTGGCAGAGAGCAAACACTCCCAGTTAATACTTACTGATATTTTGCTTGGGAAGGTGCTTCAAGTGCACGGGAAGGGAACTATGCTCGTTTGCTGAGGAAACACCAGGACAATTCAACCAGGCTGATGCCTGAGAATCCATAATGGGCAGGAATGTGTGTCAGCAGACAGAATAATCCTACCTACACTTTTACACATGCAAGATACTATTACTCAGTGAGCCAGGGCAGACAGAAATCAGTTTTTTTGAAGTCTATTGGAAAATAGAGGTCCTTTATTTTTGTATTGTAAAATTGAAAGTGTTTTAAGACATAAAAATGACATATTGGGAAGCAGCAGATGAATGTGCTTAATTCCAATGTCTAGCTTGAACTGCAAGTCCGTGTCTAAATTTCCCCTGTGGGGGTCGTTTTTCCTTCTCTCAGGCTCTTGCCATTGAGTGCAAATGCCTGGCCTGTTTGGGATTGTACAAGCCAGTTTGTTGGGAATGCTTGGAAACCCTGGGGATGGGGTGACATGGACTGTCTTTGCAGGAAGTACTGTGAATGTAATTTCCATAACATTGCTGACTAGAAACATTTCCAGTTTACCTTCTGCTACAAAACTTGTGGACGAGTACTGGGCCCCATTTTCCCTTGACAATAACTCTGCTGGTGAAGGAGAATTTGGATTATGACTCGGTATATAGAACCTCTCTGCGAGCAGTTTCCCAGCTTGAGAACACTACTTGTTTATCTGCATACTTACTAAAATATTCCTTATTTCTACTGCATCTGCATTTAACAGGAAGTTTACCATTATTTTTCATTTAATTTAGCTACTCTTTTTCAAGGAAAAGCCCAAACTCATAAAAGCAGGTGGTGGGCACTTGCAATGAGAGGTGTCTCATACCATTTGGAGTTGGCTCTTTTCTGAAGTGCAGTTTTGAAGCTTTTTTCCACGCTGGCATTTGCAGAGGGCTTTTCATTTTCAACTAAGATGTGGTACTGCTGCAGGCTCTGGCAGAGCTCTGAAGCCTTGGAGCTGCCCTCATCTCTCCAGCTGCTGCTGTCACCAAATGTCATTTTCTGTCACCTCTGTATCTGAGCTACAGTGGGTTAATGTCGCTGAAAAGGTTTCAGAGGAGAACACACAGTGTGATTATACACCCTCATCTCTAAAGATAATGAGGCTGCAGAGTGACAACAGGCATGAACCATTTAACTCAGGTTGCACATTTTGGGTCAACTCTGGATTTAAGGATTCAGTAATGCACTTGGCATTTTTCTGAACCATGGATAAATGATAATGAAAAGTTATAATGGCCTGTGGTTTGTATTTACCTCTGGATATTTTATCTGAGTTTTCATCACTAATTTATCATTCTTCAGGATCTCCTAATGTTCAAACCCCCAGAATAGCTTCTAAGAGTACCAAATTTTGATCATTATGTGTAAAGCCATTAAAATCTGACTTATAAAATACTATGCATGGGCGTGAACCAAAGATAAGTCACATGCTTACCTCTACAAAGCTGAACTACACAGTATTTCTTGGATTGAAAGAAGTAAAACTATTATCCAGCTGGTATAAAACTCCTGTTTTCTCAGGTTTCCAGTGGGACAATTTGAGAAGTCCTGAGGTCATGCTTGAGAAAAAAAAACAAGGATTTTTTTTATGTGTCAGTTTGTGCTTGCTGTTAAAGTGTTGGTGCTGACCCTACAGAGGTGATTTGGAATGACTGCAGTTATTGTTGCAAACTGTAACCAAAGTTATCAGAAGATACAAGGTTGTTTTTCCCTCTGTTAGCAGAATTAATTTTCACTGTCGATAATCAGAATACAGCGTTTTAGCAAAGCATGAAGAATGGCTATGGATTTTATTTTGCCTTGCTCTGAGAAAGTGCAATCTCCCAACAGCTGCATGTTTTTCCTTTTCCTTCAGCAAAAAATGGCCCCATTTACGATGTTGCCTGGAGCCCCAATTCTGTCGAGTTCTGTGCTGTGTATGGTTTCATGCCTGCCAAAGCCACAGTTTTTAACCTGAAATGTGACCCTGTGTTTGATTTTGGCACCGGGCCCCGCAATGCTGCCTACTATAGCCCCCACGGACACATCCTGGTGCTGGCAGGGTTTGGGAACCTCAGGGGACAGATGGAAGTGTGGGACGTTAAAAACTACAAACTGATTTCCAAGCCGGTGGCGTCGGATTCCACGTTCTTCGCTTGGTGTCCCGACGGGGAGCACATCGTGACCGCCACCTGCGCTCCCCGGCTGCGCGTCAGCAACGGCTACAAGGTCTGGCACTACACGGGCTCGGTGCTGCACTCCCACGAGGTGCCCTCTGACGAGGAGATGTGGCAGGTGTCCTGGCAGCCCTTCCTGGACGGGGTGTTCCCGGAGAGAGCGGTGAAACACCGGGCGGTTCCCAGCGAGCTGCCCGGCGCTGAGCCGAGGCCCGCGCAGGCATACAGACCTCCTGCCCTGAGGAACAAACCTGTCACCAGCTCCAAGCTGGTGAGTACCAGTGTCCTGTGGGAACTGACCTCTTGTCTGGGGCTTGGCCTCACCTAGGTGTGTGCTTTTGAAGAGTCGTTGGCTTGACGGCACTGTGGGGGTTTGGAGGGGTTTTGGTAACCTTCTTTGGCACTTTGCTGGGCACACTTTGTAAGAGTGTATGCTAGAAAGCTCTCATCTGTTTGGCCAAGTACTGTCCTTTCACAAAGCATTTGCAAACTTTTGTAATATTCTTTGCAATATGTACTGAAACACTAAACCCCAAGTGGGGCTTCTGGTGAAATTGAGTGCTCTGGTTAGGACAGAAGCCTCTGATCTGGGTGACTTGACTTGCCAGTTATGAATCCAGCCAGCCTTGTTGGTTTTTTTTTTTGTTTGTTTTGTTTTTGTTTTTTCTTTTTTTTATAAGATAAATGTACTTATTAGAAAGAGATTGGATCATTAGCAAGTCAGCTGCAGCTTAAACACATTTCAGTACAGTGACCTGCTTGTATAATTGGTTGCCTTCTGCAGGTTTTCAAAGTAGGCTGAATAGCAACATATAACAGCTGCACCCTTCACCTTTGAGTCCTGGAGAGCTTTGGTTTTGAGCCTGGTGCTTTGCAGGAGACTCAGCCTGAGAACAGTCATGTTGAGGGCTGAGGGCTGCTCTCACAAACCATCCCTGAGCAGAGGGAGTAGGAAAAAGATACAGTCAATAAAATAATTTTGCTTACTTATATGGGAAAAAAATCTTGTCACATGCATTAAAACAATACAGTGCCACAGTTGAGAGTTGTCATAAAACACATAAAGCACCAAACAGCCCCCCTTCTCAGCCCCCACTGTCCCTCAAGAACGCCCCACTCCCCTCCCAGCACTCAGCCTTCCTCTCTGGTCGTCAGGAGTTTGGGTTACAAAGCTGTCAACAGCAGCAAAATGCCAGGCTTCAGTCATTTTGTGCTAGATTATTCCTCTTGGATTTTATTTCCTTCCTGAGATAGAAAACATAATGATTTTGTTGTTTTATCAGAAATCTGTGATATTATTAGGGCACACAGAGTAGGTCCATGCAAACTCAAATGGATGAGTTTGAAACCCTTTCACCCTTCTTTGGCTGTTCCAAGGGGTGCATACTTTTCCCCCCCACTTCCTTTTTTTCTTTTTTCTTTCTGTTTCATCTTTGCACATGATGTTCTCTTTGGTAGATTTTGGGGTTTCTGTGCCAACATGGAATATGGAGTTTTAACCATTTTGCATATCCTGCAGCATGAGGATGAGCCACCCCAGAACATGAAACCCCAGCAGGGAGGTGGTGATAAGCCACTATCTAAAACAGCTCTCAAAAATCAGAGGAAACATGAAGCAAAGAAGGCTGCTAAACAGGTACTGCTAAAGTCTTCTTAGGAGGATAACTTTAATTAGTTAATTAGTTTCTCCCAAGGGCAGTGGTCAGTCTCAGAGCAGTGGCTTGTGCTCTGAGCCCTCCACGCCTGTTGTGTGTGTGGCAATGTGGGAAGGGCAGCAGAGTTTAACCAGAGAAAAGCAGGTACAAAAGGGTGATTCAGAAATAGCAGCCTTGCTGCAGCACTGCGAATGTTAGCTAAAATCAGTGTGGAGACAAAGTGATTCTGACTTTCCACGTTCTACAGAATGTGTTTTGGTTTTAGGTAGGAGTTGAGAACAGGCTGGGTGCTTTGTGGTCCCAGCAGGTCAAGGCTGAGGGGTGTTTTTAGTGCAGACCAGAGACAGCCTGTCTGTCACTTCTGGACTTACTATTCTTTGACTAGGTAGATAGAAGTCAGCTTTTGGTATTAGCCTTCCAATCTCTACAAACCTCTGAAGCAATAATTTCTTTAAATGCTATTTTAAAATATTTCTAGCACTGGTTTTGAGCCCTTTCTTTTGCTTTAGAGACAATGACCCGGTCTGCTTTGTGTATGTGTTTGTCATATTACTCTTAAACTGATGTTTCCCTGTGCTGTGTGTGGTTGGGATCTTGAGGAAGTAGAAATTAAACAAGAAGCAGCATGTAAGCTGTTCCAGATAAACCTTTGTCCATGGAAATCAGATCAATAGGTGATACAGTACCTCAGAACAAGTAATTCCCAGACTTTGGAATACACCAGCAAACTGGGGAAAGAAATATTAAATAGATCCTCTTAAAGTGATTAAAGACATTTTTCATTCTCTTTGTAATCAAAGGTATTTTCTAGATTGTGTTTATGTGTCTGCAGGAGGCCAAAGCTGATGCACACCAAGGCCCTGCCGAGGTCAAAACTGCACAGAATGTCCTGCAGAACACTGTGCCTGCCGTGACCACAGGAGATCCTGAAGTGGACAAAAAGATAAAGAATTTGAAAAAGGTGTGAGGAGATTATTTTTCTAGCAAACAGTATTTCTCCAAGGGCTGATCTGTCAGACCTAGTGCGAGTGTAAGGTGAGCTGAGTTCAGGAGGATGCACGTGCCCACGGTCATGTCCCCAGTCCGTACCCACCTCCCTGTGCAGCGGCGGAGGCCATCGTGTGCCAGGGTTCCTGAAGGCCCCATCCCAGGTGGCAGTACAGGGAGGAGTTTTTAAAACTAGCCCTCAGGCTCTGGCCAGGAATGCTGGAGGTGCAGGCAGTGCCCAGGAGGGTGCGGGGTGCCCAGACAGGAGCTCTGTGCCTTCTGTGGTTGTTGGGACCTGCATCTGGCAAGGGAACAGTGCCAAGTCCACTGCCAGTCCTGACAGTTCTTGCATTAGATAATGCCAGAATAGAAATTGTTAAGTTCTGGCTAGAGAATCTTTCCCATTTCTCTTGGCTGCCTCCTGCTGCTCATAGTCTCTGGATTAACATTCCAGGCTTTCTGAGGAAAATGTGTCATGAAGGGGCATGGTGATGGAGTAATTTCCAAGTTTGTATCTAGCCCTTCAGTGAGACAATGTCTGGTGTTTGTTTCAGAGATGAAGTGCTGCTGTTCTCCAGGTTCTGGTCCTGAAAGAAATGTCTGTTATGGGTGGGAAATTCTGGGCAGAGCATCTGGATATGCTTAAGGGATTGTGCCTTCCATAGAGACCTGTCTCCAGATGCATCAGGACATTACAAGTTGCAGCTTCTAAGACTATTTTCTATTCTTGTTTCACCAATATTTTTGTGTTAGAGTGGCTTTTTGTGTTTTTTTTTTTTGCAGAAACTAAAGGCAATTGAGCAGCTGAAAGAACAGGCAGCTGCTGGCAAACAGCTGGAGAAGAATCAGGTATGTTTTGGATCTGTATGGTTTATTCCAGGTTCATTTTGTAATAAGCTACATCTATGACATTTTATGCTTCTCTGCTCTAGGTGGAGAAGATTCAGAAAGAAGCTGCTCTTCTTAAGGAACTGCAAGACCTAGAACTGGGTGTTTAAATCTTCGTTGGGCTCCTGTATGGTTCTAACACGAAGTTGATGCAAAACGTAGTTTGTTAAACATTTCAGCAAATGACCAAGGGTGAGAAAGTCCACAGATTTGCTTGTCATTTGCTTTTAAAAAAGCGTTTTCCTAAAGATTTGTGCACATGAAGCTGTAAGCACGTGATGAGTATCCATCAGCTAGTTCTGCTGCTGTTCCAACGAGAAATGCACTCTTTTTCTGAGAACATACTGCCTAAAGCAGATTTTTTTTTCCTTATTTGTGTGGGAGAAGGGAAGGCGCTGAAGCCATTTGATAGCTTTATTTAAGAGGAGATGTGGTCTCTATGCAATAAGGGCAGGTGGATGAAATAAAGAGCATTTACTGACGGCGGGCTGTCCTTGCTGTGTGTGACCGCCAGGGGGCGCGCCGGGCCCGGCCCCGCCCCGTCCCGCCGCGCGCGTGACC